ATATCACTAAGCATTAAATAAACAGACCAATTTAAGTGTGTGGGACAGTTTAGAACAACTCTTTTTTTTTTCAGTTATATGCTTATTGATATTTGTATAAAGGAGTGTATATAATATTGATACTAATAATAACGATAACTATAATAATACTAACAATAATAAAAAGAGCTGATTAAAACCAATGTTGTTTTTTGGGGGTTATATTACTTTATAAAAACACACATTATTGTTCTAGTTAAAAACAATGCTCTGGGAGGCTAACATGGCTACATCGAAAGGATATATTTACAGTTCTTAATAATATCAGATTGTAGTGTATATTATAAGTTGTTTTATTAAAAATATTAAAATAATTCTTCTACTTTATATGCTAGTAGAGTACAGCAAATATCCTGCCATTACCCTGTTAGAGGAAAGAAACCTAATTTCTTAATTACCGTAATGGCCCATAAGGTTTGATGAGCTTTTATGAAATATTGAACCTCTGCATGTGATTTTATATTCAATGATATTTATATATTTGAATTTCTTATTGTAAGTTTATAAAAACATAGATTTGTCTAACAATAGATTGATTTGAATTTTTAGATTTTAGGTTTCATTGGATTAATTTACATAGACCCACTAATTGAAGGTTAGCTTGAATAGGTACTTACCTATAATTAACAGAAGAAGTACAGGCAGAATAAATTTTCCTGCCATTCTTCAATCGTTGAAAGTCGAATCCGCTAAAATAAAGAGTATAAAAAATAAAGATTTAGTATCTATGAATAATGTTGATCCAGACATATATAGAACGCAGAGCATTTTGTTATCTCACGGACTTTATAAAAATAGAACATTTTTGTATGCAATTTGTTTCATTTTACCTTTGTAAAAATGTAAAATTGTATTTATTGCAAAAGTTACCTTTTCTATGTGCCTCTGCGATGTGTTAACATCTCGAATGAAGAAACAGGGCTGCAACCTGCCTTTAAAAAGGGATGGCTCACACAAATCCAACTTTCATCTCCAGTTAATTGTCTTGAAAAATGAAGTACATCCACTTTTTAATAATATAGCACAAAAAAATGTTACCACACAGCTTTCTTATTTAAATATTAAGCATGTTCTTTTTTTTCATAGGACTGCTTTGTTCCTGTTACGATTATCTGGAATCTAGGATAATTTAACAGCAAAGTTTTGGGTTAATTTTAGCTCTGTAAATAGCTGGTATTCTGTACAGTGTGTGCTCTGCTCTTCAATGCAAAGTGAAGCAGGTTTGACAAACAAAAGCACCTGCTGAACATCTTTTCTCATGCATAACATCCCATCTGATATTGGTCCACATGCTCTTTCTGGAAAGAGAAATTTGAGGTACTAACAATTTGTCTAAAAACAGAGGTTCGGTGTCCCTACTAGAGTATTTTTGATTGGTTTATCTCTACCAAGGTAATCTTGTTTTACCCTAATATACGCACTGAAACCTGTGCTGGTCCGTAGAAACGGTTTCTAATGTAGAAATTGCAAAACAGAAAATTACTCGATTTTATTAAAGTATCTAAAGATAGGTTTTTCAAAAGGCTAAGTGAAAAGTCATCTCTATCCACAACCTCTTGAGAATTAGAATAAAAAGCTGAAATATCACTTGTGATGTTGGTGTCAATGAAAAAATGCATAAGCTTCAAATTTGGAACCGCATTCCAAGATAACAAATGCTAATGTTTTCTTAATGCTATTTGTTTTCCTAAATAACTTGAACTTTTTTTTCCCAGTCTGTCTGAGCTGTTCTCCCTGTAAACAGGATCCTAAGATACTTAAACTCCTCCATTCAAGGCAGGAGGTCTTTTCTGACATGAAGAAAGCAAGACACCTCATCCACTTCCAAAGTCTTAGCCAGTTTTCTGTTTATATTTTAGATTCCAAACTGTTTATATTACTGAAAGCATAGCTGAATAAGGATAAAGCAACCTGGTTTTCCATTAGTTAGTATTGTATTACTTAGTAAGGTAATAGTGCGTGTCTATACATGTCTTACATTGACTTAGAAGAAGTCCTTATTATAACGTTGTCTTGAAAGAGACAATAACTGCAAATTTAACTTCTTCGGATTTTAGCCTGCCTGTTTCCTTGTAAATGTTTACCATGAATAAATATTTAAAATTTTCCATCTATCAGGTGTGCATGATGAAAAATACCCTTCACTTTTGCAAAATTGTATTTTTTTTTTTCTATAATGGTACAAAAACAGTAAAGTGATGGGGAGAAGGTTGCTTTGGAAACAAGGTGCTGTATATTTCTATTTAGAATTTGTAACTGGAATGATAGTAAATATTTGCAGCTTGTTTTAGTTTTTAAATAAGGTACCGATTTTATTATTCATTTAATGTAAACATTGTTATATTATCTTCAATCTTCATTCATAGCAGCTGTTTCATCCCTAGTAGTGGTTTCTTCACATTTAGATCAGTCTGTATTTAGGCACTCAATTATTTAAGTGTATTGGTTTTTTTGTTTTTTTTTGTTTGCTCTGATCTATGACAGTTGGTCTAAAACTAAAATAAAATGCTTTCCTTCTTTTTCTTCTATCACTTGTATT